GCAATGTGGAACATCAAACCTTGGTCAATGGGGTAATTAAGGGGGTAAAGTAGAATTTGATCAATATTTCTGGGTGCAGTGTAGCAATTAAGCCTATTTTTAAACATTGTGAGAGACTAAAAAGAAATAAACTTCAAAGGGAAATTTGCTCAAAACCACCTAGACTATTGGGAGTGTGCATAACCGAAAATGGATAGTAGCAAGCAAGGGACTGGTAGCTCAAGTGGTTAAGAGAATTTACCCTTGAATCTGAGGTCGTAGGTTCAATTCCCCCCTCCACTAATATTGCTTGTATTAAAATAAAATAAAAATAGTAGCAAAGAAGATGCATAAAGCAGGGGCATGGAAGGGACGGTATACATGTAATTCGAATTGGAACAAACACATTTGTTTCTGTCTAAAAGTATTGTCCCTAAAAGTCAATCACATCCAAACCCCTTGACAAATACAAGTACAAACCCAAACCCCAACCCCACTTCTACATAAGTGTATTTTTCGACCAATACATCCCCAGAAGCACCTATTACACCTATTGCACCCTATTGAAAATATTACCTGTATAGTTTTATGACTAACAGAAATGGGATTGTTTTTTATTTACCAATAATACAAGTCACAAAGGTGTAGTGGTACCAAATAATGAAATCTAGAAGGTCGTCTAGATCTTCTTCACCATCACATTAACCTCATGCCTGGCACATGCAGTCAGGAGCAGGATAGGTGTATATGGACTGCTTTGGCTTTCTCAGCCTGATTTGCCCTTGTCTGTTTTGGTGCCCTTCTACTACTGACTGCTGGAAGTCTGACCAGCTAATGCTTTTGTTTAGGAAGAGTTGACCCAACAGTGACATACTCGGCCTAATCGTCTTCAAGTTCTCATAAGTTCGATGCCCTACCTGTTGACACCAAAGATTTGTCATCTTAGTATGACTATAATGCAAAGTAGGGTATAAAAATATCTATGGTCTTAAAAGTACCAATGCTGACCATGTAGAATTCATAAAAAGTTGCTTTTAAAAGTCTTACCAGTGCATTGTGCATATTTCCTGGAGAAGCAGAAACGAAGATGTCGCTGTGCATGCTAACGTAGTAATCAACTGCTGCTAACAAAGAAGCCTTTCCTTTTATTTGGGCCCGTTCTTCTGAAGAAGCAAGGCTCTTTTTGTCTTCCATTAGTGGAAACAATCTTCGCAAGTTTGAAATCCTAGCTTCCCCACCATATACCTGGATAAAACAAAACAATTTTAAGAAATAGAACTCCGTGAACCAGAAACATTAAATTTGAAGTTCCAAATTGAAATGTTCCAATTCACTGGGATGAGCCTTAGCTAACAGGAGTTGGATAGAAGAAAGCTATGAACCTTGTGGGAAGCAAGATATAGACGAGTACTGTTGTCAAACCCCAAAGCTGCAAGCAGCAATCCAATCTCTTCTGGAGTTAATGGACAACGCCCCTGACTCCTCAACTCTTCGTCGGTGAACTGGGAGTTAAGGACCCTTCCCTGCCAGATCACTTGTCGGTATTTGGCCAGAGCCAGTTTTTCAGCTTTTCCACCACCAAAATCACAGGCTGAATGGGCTGCCATATCCTGTAGAAAGACGAGATTAATGAAAGAACATACAAATACGATTCCAACTTGAAATCCACAACTACAGAGAGTGAGAAAAAAAATTAAGCAGAGGGTGTGGGATACATACAAAACATGGTTACTAGACGTATAGATAGTATTGGCATACTGCAAACACATCATTTTCATATTTTTGAATAGTTAAAAATAAAGTGTAAGTTGGTTAGAATGAAATATAATGTGTTACGATCTGTCGATTGTTTGTGTGCCCCATAACATAAACACTTCAAGTCAGACATTGCTAGTATGCATCAAGCAGTTCCTCATACCAATTATGCCAAAATTCTCTGTAGCTTGCAGGCTAGAGACAAACAGATCTTTTGGAAAAATAAGAAATAAAATAACAGACGCCTCAAATGTTTGTGTATCAGTTATAGGAGAGGAGCATACCTTATCAAACCGTAGGTGTAGCACAACAAATTTCCCTGCCCCTTGTTTATCTTTCACATCAGGCATCTCCTGCAGGTAATTGGTGGCAACTGCTCCACTTTTGCCAGAAGGATTTCTAAGGCGGCTGATCAGAGCATCTCCAAGTGCTCTAATATGAGGGACAAAAACTAATGCTTGAAAGTTGACCTTACAGCGTAGCCGTTGGATGTCCATAGGCAAGTTATCAAATGTCAGGCGGTGAGAGAAAGGGGCAATTGCTGCTATTCCATAACTGAACCACATACAATTCAGTAAATACGAAATCTTAGGTATGAAGACATAATTTTTTATTAACTTCGATACCTACTCAAAATTAAGGGGGACAAAAACCCCGAGCAGACATCGAAGATATGACACAAGCAGCTTATAATGACTTTAATGAAGTAGAATCTTGGTAATTTCACAGTAATGCACTGAACATAAAGAGTTCAGCTACACCTGTCAATGTAGATAGACAAGTTATTGCATGTCCACCTTCTCAAATCCTGCCTCTCCACAACAATGAATGGAAAGGGCATCATTTTTTGCCAAAACTTTCAAATTCTGGTACTGGAGTACATAATGCTGCAGTTGAAATATCACATGAACAAGGCCTTTAAACTTTCCTTATCCTCAAAATCAATATGCTGCTTTTGGGGCATTACCAAGAAAAAAAACTATGTTTCCATTGATGCAAGACACCTTATATGTCTCACCTAAACGCCCAAAAATTCAAACAACAATAAAACTCTAATTTAAGTCAACAAGTTCAGGTAATACTGACCTCTGAACTACAGGCAATACGTTCTCTAGATACCAGTTGGCTGAAGCATGCACAGGTGCTGTCTTAACTCTGGTAGCTCGGATGGCCGTTGCATAGTACTCCCTTGTGCTCCAGGAGAAATCAGAAGGTAGCTCTTTAACTATGGAAATATCATCCTTCAATGCATTAATGAAATGATCAACATCAAATATATCCATGAAGGAGCTGCAGAGAAAGGAAAATATCCAACATAAGAATTCCACTCAGAATTCAAGAGATAAAGAACAAATATAACCAAAGCATAGATAAACCAACTTTTGCTTCTACGTATACCTCGAATCTCGCCATACAGGATTCACTTCAAGGTATGGGATCACAAGAGTTGCATTCAGTATTTTAGCAACAGCAACTGCATCACATATCTACAAAGGGAACAATTTTAAGACCTAGCCAAGAAGTTCTACAACTTTGAAACAGACAAGACAAGACTGCAAATTTTAATCATAGAAATAACAGCTATTCCAGTTGACTTTTTTTTTTCCTACTTCAGATTTACATTGGACACATTAGAAACTTTTAAACCTACCCCCATCCTCTGCTGGTTCAGCCCTCCATCAAGAAATAATTGGATAAAT